TAATAAAATGTTTAAAAAAAAACAAACATATTTATATTTCTAGAAAGATTAAAAAAAAAAAGACTAGATTAGCAGTTCTCAACCTGTGGGCCACGACCCCTTTGGTGGTCGAATGACCCATTCACAGGGCCGCCCCGATTCATAACAGTAGCAAAATGACAGTGATGAAGTAGCAATGAAACTATCTTCATGGTTGGGGGTCACCACAACAGGAGGCACTGTATGAAAGGGTCGCGGCACGAGGAAGGTTGAGAACCACTAGACGAGATGGTACCGAACATCGAGGTCAGAGCCCGAGCTCTTGAGCGTTCGGCTCTAGTGCTTCCTTAGCTTAGACCACCTTGTCTTATACAGCTGGCTTTGGGGGAGCTTCGTGTAAGAGGTGATGTTTGGATGAGACTTGAAGGATGAACACGGGAGATAACAAGGAAGGAAAGGGCATCGCAGGTAGAGGTCGTTCCATTGAGTGGGACTGAGCTCGAGGTAGAGGGAAGGTGTTGAGACAACTGAGGCCAGCAGAGGGCAGCTCAAAAAACCCCCAAGTTTGTTGGTCAGCGCTTTATACCTACTGGGGACCCAGTGAAGCTTTTAAACTATGAATGACCTGGCCACAGTCTTCTCTCCGCTGGTGTGGAAGCAGGGCGTCTAGAGTAGGGAGATCTACAGGAATGTGTTACAATGTAGGTAGAAAAGAACGAGGCTTGCTGGGAATAGAAGCAGAGAAAGGAAGATGAATACCAAGGAGGGCAAACTGTTTAGTGAAGTATGGGTTGTGTTAGGACAGTGCCTGGTGTTTCAAACTAAACAAGCAAACACACCTGCCGTCAAATCGCTTCTGACTCACAGGCCCTTAGTAAAGGTCTGTTGAGTGGATGAACAGAGCGCGTGCACATGGCTGTGACAGTGAAGGAGAGAGGGTGATTGATGGCTCTCATTTTCTTTTGCTGAACGACTTCTTTGAATTCCCCACACTGGAGGTCACAGGAGGGAAACTATTCTAACTCACCTTCTCTGAGCGGTTGTCATGGTGGAAACTTCTTCAGGGCAGGATCTCGCTAAGAGGAGGTTCCCAGAGCTGATAGGCCCCTGGTTGTCCACCAGCCCAGCCCTTGTATTTCACAGACAAAGAGACCAAGGTCCAGAGTCCAAGGGCCTAGGCCCAGAGAAAGGAATTACCTAATATTAATGAAGTTAGTCATGTGCCAGATATTTTCCTAGCCCTCCCACAACAATCAGGTCTTTTGAGGGATAGTAAGGAGCAGGTCTACTATTTGTTTAATAGATGAGTAAACTGACGGAAGTAATCTAGCCAAGGGTACCCTGCGATTGAAAGAAAGCCAGTGTGACCACCAGTTGTCTGGTTTCAAAGCCCACAGGGTCGAGAGATTTCAGTCACCTCCAAGCTCTATCACTTCTGAAATGTATTTGACTTTCTTATTTTGTACAGTGGAAATATGACCTTGCCCTACTTATCACTCCCCGGATTTTATGACGATTGCGTGACGGCAAGTGTGGGTTGTGCTCGCTGCTTCTTGTTAGCTGTCAGATCGGCTTCTGACTCTGCATAGTGACCCCGTGCACAATGGAATCATGCACTCCCCAGTCCTGCACCATCCCCATGTTTGTCTGGGCATTGGGCCATTGTAATCCAAAGGGTTTCTGTCCTAGACTGGAAATTCTGCTGACACCTGTTCAGTATCATAGTAACCTGCAAGGCTCCACTCACAGAGGGGTGCTGGATGAGGTGCAATGGCTGGTAACTGAACACCAGTCTCATTCGTGGAAGACTTGGCTTCTACCACTGAACGGCCACTGCCTTCCTAGGTAGCGTAAGTCGCTGTTGTTGATGGGGGCTGCCCATTCTGTTCCGACTCAGTAACCCCACGTACAACAGAGAGGAACGCTGCTTGGTCCTGTACTGTCCGCACAATTGTTCTTATGTTTCAGCCGCTTCTGGTTGCAGCCATCCTGTCAGTCCATCTGGTTGAGGGCCTTCCTCGACCTCGGGCAGGAGGTCCTTCTCCAGGGACTGGTCTCTCCTGTCAACATGTCCGAAGTACGTGAGATAAACTCTTGCAGTCATGGCCTCTCAGGAGCATCCTGGCTGGACTCCTGCCAGTACAGACTTGTTCTTTGATCAGTCCATGGTGCTCTCAACACTCTTCACCAGTATCATAAGGAAAGCGCGTCGAGTCTCCCTTGGTCTTCCTTATTCAATGTCCAACTGTCACATGCTATGAGGTGACTGAACACACCGTGGTTTGGGTCAGGGGCACCTGAGTCCTCAAAGTCACTGCTTTGCTTTTCAACACTTTCTAGAGGTCTTGTGCAGCACATTTCCCCAATGCAATGTGTCGTTCGATCTCTTGATTGCTGCTTCTAGGAACATTGATCGTGGCTCCAAGCAAAATGTGATGATCCTTGTCAACTTCAGTCTTTTCTGTACTTATCGTGATGTTACCTATCAGTTGTGAGGCTTTAGGTTTCCTTTACCTTGAGCTCCATCCTGAAAGCTGCAGCCCTTGATTTTCATCAGCAAGTGCTTTAGTCCTTCTCCCTTTCAGGAAGCAAGGTTGCGTCAGCTGCATTTCACAGGTTGTCAATAAGCCTTCCTCCGATCTTGATGCCACACTCTTCATATAGTCTGTCGGAGGAACCAGCCTCCAACACCTGAAGGGCCAGAAGGTGCAAATGGACAGCAATGATATATAAAGATTATAGGAAAGCTATATGTCAGAGTATCAGCCCCTAGCACAACATCACAGGTCCAGTAGGCACAATTGTACAGCGATAATAAGTAAAGATTTTAGTAAATTCATAGAGAGCACAAGAGATAGGAGAGATTGAAATAATGGAGTCAGACACATTTCATGGTAGCATGCTTACCTCAGCATCTCAGCCTGACTTGGTGGTCCACGTGGAGAGAGAGAGATATTTATTGCTAACCAAGGCTTTTATATTCTCTGGGGACGTGCAAGCCCCCTAACTACAGGTGAAGACATACATCACAGGAAAGGGTTGTGTTATAGGTATTACAGTAATGGGAGGGAGGTGATCTAGGGGTATTCATGCAATAGGAAGGGGAGGTAATAGGGGTACACATGTGACAAGATGGGCGGATCCTAGATTCAGGATGGCAGCCTAGCTTTGGATGTCACTGAGCTGGTTTGACCTGTTCTCTGACTCACTATAGAAACCATTATCAGTAGGGTGTAAACCCACCCTGCAGGGACCAAACTGATGACCACAAGCCATTAAGAAGAAGTAGCCCATTGTTCTTACCACAGGTAGGAAGTGGGCCCTACCTGTGGTAGGACCTGACAGTAGTCTGGCAACTGACTGCCTTCAGGGAGGTAACTTGATAAACATTTACTATTCACTACAAGCAGTGTCCTAAGTCTAACATATATTTGGGGGAGATGACTTGGGAGAAATCTTTCTGTTTCCCACAGCCATAGAGGATAAGAAAGATAGGAGAGAGAATACAATAAAGGAGTCAGACATATCTTATGGTAGCATGCTCACCTCAGCTCCTCTTGATGGACCACGTGGCACTGAGCAGGTAGGAGAATGGGAGAAGTGAGAGAGAGACTTTACTGTCTCGAGGTCTTTATTTATTTATTTATTTTTTGTTTTGTTTATCTCGAGGTCTTTATTTATTTATTTTTTTGTTTTGTTTCTCTCGAGGTCTTTATAGGTAAGCTTAAGACTTGCATATACGGTAGTTACATACATCACAAGGTGGGTGGTATCTACAGTAAAGGTCCCTGAGCTCAAGGTGAGGAAACCTATTGCCTGTATTAGGGAAAAGTACAAGGGGGTGGGGGGTGTTGTCATGGCAGGCAGAGAGAAAACGGTAATGTTTGCTTCTATAGGGAGATACAGTCAATCATGTGCTTACAATAATTATTGGCAGCATAGCTGTTAAGGGGAGAATCTGTGGGAATGATTTTTAAAGCAGGATAATGTACCTAGACTTTACCTCCAACTTACTAAAGTGGAGGCTTTCCTACCGTGGAATACCAGCTTTTCAGATCCCCTCTGTAATAAGTTAGGGAATATAGTCCTAGTCGTATTTCCCTCAGTGTTAGTTTCCAAAAATAGTCCAGCTTCTCTGAGGAGTTGCTCAGCATACAGACTGAACAAGTATGGTGAGAGGATACAACCCTGATGCACACCTGTCCTGATTGTGAACCATGCAGTGTGCCCTTGTTCTGTTCACAGAGATGCCTCTGGATCTGTATATAGGTTCTACATGAATACAATGAAGGGTTCTGATATTCCTTCTTTTCAAGGATAGCCACAGTTTGTTAGGGTCCACACAGTCGAATGCATTGGCATAGCCAATAAAACACAAGCCAACATCTTTCTGGTGTTCTCTGCTTTCAGCCAAGATCCATCTGACATCAGCAATGATATCCCTTGTTCTTGGTCCTCTTCTGAATGTGGCCTGAACCTCTGGCATCTCCCTGTCAACATATTGCTGTCACCATTGATGGATTCAGCAAAATTTTGCTTGCATGTGATATTAATGATAACATCCTATAATTTGAGCATTCTGCTGGGTCACCTTTCTTTAGAATGGGCACAAATAATAGATCTCTTCCAGTCAGTTGGCCAAGTACTTGTTTTGCAAATTTCCTGGCATAGATGAGTGAAATGCTTCCAGTGCTTCATGAGTTTGTTGAAATATTTCAATCAGTTTTCCATCAATTCCTGGAGCCTTGTTTTTGGCTAATCCTTTCAGTGCAGCCTAGACTTCTTCTTCAGTACCATGACTTCTTCTTCAGTACCATTGGTTCTTGCTCATATACTACCTCTGAGTATAGTTGAATATTGACTAGATCTTTTTGCTACAGTGACTGTGTCTTTTCTCCATCTTTTTTGGATGCTTCCTGCATCATTCAATATTTTGCCCAGAGAATCTTTAAATATTGCAACTAGAAGCTTGCATTTTTTCTTGAGTTCTTTCAGTTTAAGATATGCTGAGCGTGTTCTTCCTCTAGGTCTTTGCATACTTCATTATAATGCTTTGCTGACTTCTCAAGCTGCCCTTTGAAATTTTCTGTTCAACTCTTTCACTGCAATATTTCTTCCATTTGTCTTAGCTACTCTACAATCAAGAGCAAGTTTGAGTCTCTTCTGATAAATACTTTGATCTTTTTTTCCTTTCCTGTCTTTTTAATGCCTTCCCCCGCCCCGCCGAAAAAGTGGTATAAGTTAGTTGTATGTAAATAATGGGAAAAAATTTAAAGCTATAACTGCCAGTACCATAGTCAGGACTGGAACCCTAATTTCCTAATTTATGATGCCCGTGTAAATCCAATTCCATTTTACATGGTCCAAGCAGTTCTACAGCTGTCACAGGCAGAACAGCATCATTGCTGCTAACTGACGTTTTGGACTCTCATACCCTCGGGTTTAAGTCAGAGGCAGTGGTGGCTCAAGAAGAGGCTTAGACGTGGCTATCTGGTTGGAAGGGGTAAACCGAGGATTTTTCTTGAATTCCTATTTCACAGCGAGCCCACTGCTTTTTATTTAGATTTGTCTGTTTATTCGGGATGGTGTGTGCATTGCTGATGGAGGATGAAGAGTTGACTCTGTCTCATGAAGACTCCATGTGCCTCGGAGGAGAACTGGTCCACTTTGACTTGAGCGGATGGGTTGGAAGGAGATCGCCAGGCCTTTCCTCTGAAGAGTCTCTGGGTGGACTTGAACCTCCAGCCTTTCAGTTAGCAGCCTAGCACTTCACTGCACCACCTATGACCTCCCTTAGGTGGAGCGTACACTCTGCCATTTGCTCCATGACCTTCAATAGTGAGCCTCTCTAAGCTCATTGCTTCATATATACAGTTGAGTAATAGTTCCCTAGCCCATAAAGCTTATTATGAAAATTAAGAGATAAAATGCATAAAACACAGACCCTAGTGCACAGTTACATGCACCAATGTGACATGACGATGGAAGAGTGTGTGTGTGTGTGTGTGTGGTGTGCACCTGCTTGCACATCCCAGAGGGTGGAGGGAATGTATCTGCCTTGGAATGATAAACAAACCCACTGAGTAAATTCTGACTCAGCGAACATTTAGGACAGTGTAGAACTACCCTTGTGGGTTTCCAAGGCTGTCAATCTTTACAGGAGCAGAAAACCTCACATTTCTCCCTCAGAGCAGCTGGCGGGTTCAAACTGCTGACTTTTGCTTAGCTGCCCAGCACGTAATCCACTATGCCACCAGGGTGCCTAACTGTCTTGGAAGAAGACTTTTAAAAAATCCTTAAAATGTTGTTTGGTTATTGTTCCTGAGAATATACACAGCACCACCGTTTTGCTAGGTAACATCGATGATGTGTTTTGATCCAACAGATTGTTTCTCTTGCTCACATACACTCACTGCCCCCTACGGCTCCCATCCAATCTTTCCACTGCTGTTGTCATCTTCATCCCATCTAGCTTTAAAAAGAGCACAGTGCTCAAGGCGGACATTCTTTAAACCAGTTACGCCAAACCTTTGTTTGGCTTGAAGAAGGCTTGGAAGGATGTTTCAGGTTAAAAGTCTAAAGATTATTATCAGGGCGATCATTTCATCCGGTCCCTTTAGTACCAGAAAGTCTGGCGCTCATGAGAATCTGAAATTCAATTTTGTATGTTTTCCATTTTACTTAGGATTCTTCTATGGAGTCTGTGATCAGCATGCTCAGTCCTGGTAGCGGGGCACCGTCCAGTTCTGGTCTCATGGCAAAGGAGCAGTTGTTGATGGAGGCAGTTAGCCACATAGTCCATGTCCTCCTTCTTGGTACAGCTTTTCCTTTGGTAGGATGGCCCTGCACCGTAGGGAAATGGGCTTTGAGCCTCCCAGAGGAGGCTGACTGATTTGCTCACACGCAATCATTCAGAAGCGGATCCAGCTCCCGAAGCTCACGACTCACTTTCCCTCTTCATTTTCCCGCCACAGGCTTCGATCCAGCGACCCCACACCCTGAGTTCCTGTGGCTGTCTCGATACAGAAGCACCGAGCAGGAGTTGGAATGGGCGAAGTGGTCCACCCCGCAGAGTTGGAACGCCGCCCCAGGTAGCTACCTAGTCCGGGTGAGCGAGAATTGGCGGAGGCAGGTATCCGTCCCGGAAGCGGCGCTGGGGATTGGTGAAGGTCCTGCTGCAGGGGGCGGGCTCCGTCCTACTCGGGGCGGGGCTGTGAGCCATGGGAGCCTTCGATTGGCTGAGCCGGCGCTGAGGGGGCGTGCCCCAGGGAGAGGGGCGGAGCGGCCGGCGCGGGCGGCGAGATGAAGAGCTGGAGGAACCAGTCGCGGAAATGTCTGCCGCCGCCGGCTCTCGGGAGCGCGACTCTGCAGGTCCGCCGGGCGATGGGGGGCTTGGGCTGAGGACCTGGGCCGGGAACGGCGACGGGCCGGTTCCACGGGAGGACAGGGTTTGCGGTTTGCCCAGTGGCCGCCGGGGCGAGACCGAGGTCCTGGCCGCAGGGGAGGCGGGGGCTGAAGTTTGGTGATGTTCGTCCTTCTCTGCTGGGCGTGGCGGGGCAGGCAGGTGGGGATCGGCGTACTGAGGGATCAAGTGGCTGGGAAGTGGGCAGGGCTCCGTCCCTGATTCGCCATGTGAGCTGGGGCCAGTGGCTGCCTCTTCCTGCGCCTCAGTTTCCCCTGCTGAGCTTGGCCTTCCGCCCAGGCCTCCTGAGATGGGCGTTCGTGGGGGTGGGTGCACGCACCTTTGGGTGAGGTATGTGTCCGCTGACCTGCCAGACCCCGGCCCGTCCTCGGCGCCTGGAGTCCCTTGTGCTGTGGCTGGCTCGCTTCGCAGTGTCATGCCCACCCTAGAGTCCAGGCCTTGGTTACAGGTGAACAGTACCAGGTTTTTTCCACTCAGCCCTTGGTGGCTACTGTGGTGCAGCACAAAAGGCTAATTGTTGAGCCAGGAATTTGTCTTTTGGAGGGCCGAAATTTGGGTCAGCCCGGTGCTCTGGGAGGACATGCACGGATCTGTTGTTTTTTTTTTTCTGTCCGCTCCTGCACGGGCTCCCAGGTGTGAGTTTCCCCAGGGTGTGCCCTGGCAGCTCTGGTTTCCTCTGGGCTTTGGTATGACCACTCATAGCATGCCTGCCCCTTCTCAGCCACTTGCTGGAGGTGGAGTCTGTTGAGGTGTTGTGGGCTCCACTTGCTCTCACAAAGCTGGGGACTGTGAAGGCGCTGGGGAGCCGTAGAGCACAAGTGTGTCTAAAACGAGAGGAACCTAGACCAGCAGACTTCCTCAGTGACCTCAGAGGCCTTGCCTGCTTCGCAGCCACCGCAAGAAGCGATGGAAGCTTCTCATGGTGCCCTAGTTTGATTTACGCGCCGGGCTGAGCTTGAAACAGCTGTTGTTGCTTCAGTTTCCCTGAATTCTGGGCCACGGTGGTGGGAGTCTGTGAGAGCTTTAAGATGAAGCATGCGTTTTCCCACTTGCCCCTTCACAAGAACCTTCCAGAATTAGGATATTGGTGGAGGAAAGGCTGCTGGAAGCAGAAAATGTTGGCCAGTAGAGAGAGGTCTTTGTAGTTGGTCAGTAAAGAGAGGTCTCTCTTTTTTTCTTCTAGAAGGTATTTTTATTTTTATTATTATTTTTCTCAAAGATTATTTTATTGGGGCCTTTTATAGCTCTTATAACAATCCATGGATCAGTTGTATCAAGCCTATTTGTACATATGTTGCCACCATTATTTTATAAACATTTACTTTCTAGTTGAGCCCTTGTTATCAACTCTAAGACAGGTCTCTTTTGAGAGCTTAGGCCAGCATTGGAGCCAGTCCCCCTCCCCAACCCCAGTAACTCAATGGCTAAACCCTCAGTTGCGAATGGACAGGTTGTCTCTGAGGGAGAAAGGCCTGGTGATCTGCTTCCATGAACACCCTAGCCTGGAGGACCTTGTGGGTCCTTGGGTCACCACACATCAAGAACTAACTAGAAAAAGCATGCGGCAAGAGCACCCTGCGGGGAAACACACAAAAATCTCATAATTGCTCATTTCCTTTCAAAAACCAAAAAACTAGTCACTAAGTTAAAACCTACCCAGCCAGGAGGAAGAGAATGCTGAAAAACAGTTTTGAAGCTCATTTGTTGGGGAAGGCCCCCAAAGCAGGCTTAAAAGGATGCGGGGCACATGGGGGTAGCATATAGGCCAGCGTGCTCTGTCACAGTTAAGTCAGTCACTCCATCCCTCTGGGCCTCAGCTTCCCCATCAGTAGAAGGAAGCAATCAGACAATAACAAGCGGCTGATGTCACATGGCTAAGCACTCAGTTCATAACCGAACAGTTAACCATTTAAACTCACCAGCTACTCCCCTGGGGGAACAGAAACAAAAACGTCTGGTGAGGAATTAATGTCAAGATTTGGAGCTCTAGTTGAAAAGACGTTGTCCCTATCAGAATATCTACAGTAAACAGGGCCGCAGTATGAACTGCTAGGTGGCTTCTGCTAAAATTGACACTAAGGCTCCAGGCTTGTCCACCCCAAACTGTTTCAAGTTGTTCAGACCTCAGAGTAGCGCTTCATCTTCCAGGATCGATAGGACCAGCTCTCTGGGCTGCTTCTGGATGCTTAGAATGATCCAGGCCCCAAGTGAAACTGGTAGTGGATTTGGTTCTTTGTCTATGCATATGATCAAAATGTCCACTTCCCCATAGGGGGAAACGACTCAAGTCGAGTTAGAATGCAGTTGGCAGGAAGCTAGATGCCCTCCAGTGGCTGACAGTCTTAACAGGGAGAGTCCGACAGTCCATCTGTAGAGGTCAGAGTGGGGAGTTGGTCCAGGACGATGATGGTCCCTGTGAGGTGAGCCTGTGACAGTGACCCTTTAATACAGTTCCTCATGTTGCGGTGACCCCCCAACTATATTTTCGTTGCTATTTCATAACTGTCATTCTACTACTGTTATGAATCGGGCGACTTCTGTGAAAGGGTCGTTAGACCCCCCCAAAAGGGGTCAGACCCACAGGTTGGCCTGTGGAGTCATGGTAAATTGGGTCTTCGCGGGTTGGTGGAGAAAAGTGCTTTACTTTGGCTGCTTCTCTCCCAAATGCCCATGCCTTCCTTTCGCTTGTATCTGCTGCATTCAGGGGTGTTGGGATGACAAAGCATTATAATGAAATGTGCAAACATCTGGGGCTTAAAAAGCTGAAAAGGAACAACACATTCAGCAAATCCAGCAAACCTCAAGTGAAAAGAACTGAAGAGAAGAACTCAAGCCTCAAGTATCAATATAGAAGGATTCCAGGAGCAAAATATTGAATGATGGGGGAAGCATTGGAAGATTCTGGAAAGAATATGCAGATACTTTGTACTAAAGAGAACTGGATAACCTTCACCTATTTCAAGAGGTAGTGTATGATCAGGAACCAGTGGTACTGAAGAAGTCCAGGCTGCACTGGAGGCATTAGCCAAAAACAGGGCTCCAGGAATTGGCGGAATACCAACTGAAATATTTCAACAAGCTGGTGAAGCACTAGAAGTACTCACTCATCTATGCCAAGAAATTTGGAAGCCAGATACCTGGCCAGTTGACTGGAAAGAAATCCCTATTCGTACCCAATTCCAAAGGAAGGTGACCCAGCAGAATGCAGGAACTATTGAACAATACCATTACTGTTACATGCCAGTAAAGTTTTGGCTGACGAGCATCCTACAATGGTTGTAGCAGTACACGATAAGGAGCTGCCAGAAATTCAAGCTGGACTCAGAAGAGGACATGGAACAAGGATATCATTGCTGATGTCAGATGGCTCTTGGCTGAAAGCAAAGGATACCAGAAAGATGTTTACTTGTGTTTTATGAATGTGTGGATCACACACAACAAACTATGGATAACATTGAGAAGAATGGGAGTTCCGGAACATATAATTGTGCTCATGCAGTACTTATACATGGACCGGGGGCAGTTGTTCAAATAGCAGATGAGAGACCCTCAAGGAGATAGACTGACACAGTGGCGGCAACAGTGAGCGCTCACATGGAGAATGTGAGGATGGTGCAGAACAGGGCAGTGTTTCCATCTGTTTTGCACCGGGTTGCTATGAGTTGGAACCAATTAGACCTAATAGCAACAATAACAGGGTGCGTTTAAGAGGCCCTGGGTGGTGCAGATTGTTAAAATTCTCGACGACCAGCCAAAATCTTGGTGGTTCCAACCCACCCAAAAGTGCACCTTGGAAGACAAGCCTATTTTTAAAAGATCGTAGCCTTGAAAACCATATGGAGGAGTTCAGCTCTGTCAGCACAGCGTCATTGTGAGTCAGAACTGCCTCCGTCAAGAACAAGAACAACACCGGGGCGAGCTTGATAGTCCCTGCGCTGCCTGTGGAGCTGCACGCTCTGGTTGTGTGGCAGAATGCTCACCTGACCATCTGGCCTTCTCTGGTTACCCAGAATGCTGCACTGGCCTTAGGCAGGTAGCAATTGTCGACAGGGCCTCTTGGGTTTCCTTCACGATTCTTCTTTGTGCCGCTTTTGCTCTCAGTCAGAAAGACGGGTCTGACTCAGGAGACATGCCAGAGAACAACCCCTTAGGCAAAATGTTCACCGGGAGCCCCAGCCCAGGCACCTGCAAACGGGAGGTGTGCCGGAGGGTCTGAGCCCGCCCCTGGAAAGGGAACAGGTTGCAGAAGTCCTGTCGGGCTATTCTGGCTGGACTAATTTCACAAAGGGGTCATAGAAAGCAAAGGGTAGTCTTTAGAAGTGGTTTTCTCATTCCGTAGTTGATTCATGGCTGATTCAAGGCGAGCCAGCTTGTAGTAACTCAGATTTAGAATGAAATATGTTCTGTGTGTTTTCCCTAGACCCAGGAAACAAAGAATTCAAAGTCGCCCTGGCCTGAGAAAGGAAATGAGAGCTATTTATATCTCCGGTAGCCTAAAGGGTAACCTAGATTACCAGCAGGGAGCGTAGAAGGCCAGAGAATATGTTGGAAAACGGTCCTTGGATTCCCCCCCCCCTTCCCTCCTCTCTCTCTCAGTTCCGGGATTTTGCGTGACCAACATGGATAAGTCACACCCGAGTGGCCAGCTCACCCTTTCAGCACAGAGAA